AAAAAGAAATATGACAATTTATTGAGTTGGGACAGATGTTGAGACATGTCTTCAATTTGCTGGATTTGTCATGATTTATATTTTTTCGTTTCTTTAGTTTAATTTTTATCTTTCAACAAAGTGATTATAATTCATATGACTTTGGTTAAAATGCATATAACCGATTCGACTCTTGTCTAAAAGTAGGCGTTTGATCATATAATTCGAGGCCAACGAGTGTTGGTAGAGTTATTAGAAGTAAACAAGGCCATATAATTAAGGATTGTGGTGGAACGGAAAGTATTCCTTTATCCTCGATTAGAGAAACTCAAGTTCTAATAACCTGTATTATAAAGTCGCTTTTGTTAGAAAACGTTTCAGAAATAAAAAAAAAAGTTATGTAATCGATTCTAAATTACTCAATTGAAGAGGTTATGTACATTGAAAAGAGATTATTAAAGATATTGAAAAGCTAGTTTTGATACATAGAGTATTTAACATTGGTTTAGAGGAAGACAATTAGGAATTGCTTTTTTATGTACAAAATCTATAATTTTGATTTTTGTTCCCTGACTTATAATAAATAGGTAATGTTTTTTTTTCTTTCTATTTTTTTCACTTCCATTTTTTAATAACTCTTACTGCATTTACTTTTTTCAAGTAAATACATTCAAACAATTAAAATATTATTTGCAAAAATTATAACCAAATGCAACTTCATTTTCAATTCCTACAAAATTTTCAAATAAAGTGTTTTTTTGTTATAATAGTATGAATAGCTCGTATATGAGATCTAATCTATGATATTATATAACTATCATCTAATCTGAAATATTATTCTTTTAGATCAAATTTGATTTTATTATATTTCAGATTAATTAATCAAATTGAATAATTTTAATGATTTTTAAAATTGAAAGTATGAACCCCATTTTCTTTAAAAAATATTTGATTTGAGAATATTTCTTACAAAATTTAAAATTAAATACAGCTCAATCCAACTCCAAACTTTTAAATATAAAAATCGTCAGAGAAGCAATTTGAAGGTGTAATATGTTTTTGTGTCGATGGCATGTGCCATGTTGGGAAGGTGTCTAATAAGCTAGATTATGAGTAAGTATTTGACATTAATAATTTCTATTGAAAAATCTTAAATACTGCCTAAGTATTACTTGAATAGAACATATATATGTGACCAAAGTAAAGTGGAACAAAGAGAATAGTTAGTTATTTCATAGAGTTCGGAGCTAAAAAGGAAAAAGAATTTGTCAAATATTACGGTACATTAATTTTCTTTTTAATTAAAAGGGTAAAATTACTTCTAACGGAGCGATTTTCTTTTGATAAAATTGACACCGTTACATTAAAATCGCTACTCTAGCAACGATCTTACCAATTTCTTCTTTTAAACATCGCTATTCTTGAAGCGTTTTTCAACAACCAAAAAAAACTTTTTAAAATTGAAATATCTGAGGTCCTTTAAAAAGTGAATTTTTTTTGTTAAATCGCTAGTCAGACAGCAATAACCTTAACTTTTTTTTTTTTTAATTTTGAACAGATAGCAATTTTTTTAAAAATTCAGCATTTTTTTTTAAAAAAAGGCAATTGAGCAGAATTAGTACACTTTCTCACTTTGGGTGTAGATATCGCTGCTACAGCAGCGATTCTAAGTAAAACAATAATTCGGATGAAATCGCTGTTAGATAAGCGAGTTTCATGTTTTTTAGTTAAGTAACATAGTCAATTTTGTCAGAAGAAAATCACTCATAATGGAGTGTTTTTGTTCTTTTAGTTAAAAAGAAAATTAATGTGCCTTTTGAGATTGTTGACAATCATTTTTACCTTTTGTCTTTGAATTTTTATTTTATACCTCTTTCAACGTGAAAAGATCGTTCATAATAAAGATAAAAATTACTTAATTATTAGTATCGTTAACTAATTAAACAAATTTCTTTTTTTTCCTCTCTTGGTGAGGGTGGGTGGGTGAATGGAGAGTCTTTCTTGGTGTCTTCTACCAGACAATATTGCATGTGCAAAGGCCATTCACTATAAAAAATAATACACAATATAAATTATAATAATAATAATAGGTAGTTAGTAATATATTTACTGGAAGTTGTATGTACACGTAGATGCAAATCAAAGAATATCTCACATTCATAAAATCATAAAAGATACTTCAAAAGCAAGTTTTGGAATAAGATCTTCTGCTATCATTGAGATCTTTATGCATTTTCAAATAGGATTTTGAAAATCTTACCAAATCTAACCTATTACAAAGACCAATAGATTAATGAAACTTTAAAAAGTTCTCAATTTTTTTAATCAAATTAAATTATTAGCTTTGAAAAAATTGAGTCAAAAAATTCAACATCGCGAATTAATCATACGACCATGGAGGAGGTTTCGATAGCCCAAATATAGATAATTCGTCCTTATTTCATTTTGGGGCTTAATTTAGAACATTTTAAGTAATTATTACTGATTTTTTATTTTTGCCCTAGTATAAAATAGCCTTTTAGTACTTTATTTTGATAAATTATTGTGTTTTTTTGTCATGCTCTTGTGGGTGTACAACTTTAGTTGCCTACATAATTCGACCTGGTGTGTTTTGTTTGAGGAATATTGTTTATTTCATCTAATAATAATTATTGCTTATATATTTTTTATATTTTGTTTCTTGCTTCTATTCTTTTAGGACTTCTTCAATTTTAATTCTAGATTTTGTTTGATCATCAGCTGCTTTCATATCTCTATGTATAAAAATATATGTAAATATAAATTTCTTTGGTACTTTATATTATGCGTACTATAACATAAGGAATAAGTGAGATTATTTTTTTATTGTGGAAACAAGAAGGTGGTCCTTTAAATGTTAAGTAAATGAATATTCAAATTCAATTTTTCACTCTCCAATGATTATAACTATTTTTATTTGTCACCAGATATTTATAGTTCTTTCCCATTGTCTGATCCAAGAAAAGTATATAGGAATATGAGTGAGAAATTATAATATATATATATATATATATATATATATATATATATATATATATATATATAGTATATATA